GTGCTTCAAAAATTCCACCTAAAATTACATCCCCCTTTTTATACAAGCCATTCAACTTGAAATTCTCTTGAAGCTTGCAAAGTGGCTCATCTAAAGTGAGGACTTGAAGAGTTAATCCTTGAAATAAAATAGCACACTGAAAGAGTTTCATTGCTACTGAGTACACAGCCTCCACTTGCTGTGGAGTTTTAAATCCAAGCTACAGTATATAGACACAATCCAGGTCCTTAGAGAGTGCTCTGTTAGGTACGGTAGTGCTATCAATCTGACGCTTGTTGTTGACAGCTGAATTACAAATACCTCTTGGTGCAATCGCTAAAAAATGTACAATTTGTTGGACGATATCAGTTGTATAATTTGCACATCATATCATTTGATCCTATCACTGTATTATGGCTCTGCCATATACTCTACTTCCAAAGGACACATATTTTGTAAGGGCTTTCTTTTATATGGCAGATCAACTTTGATCATTTCTTAGAATGCATTACAGAATTTACAATTTCTCACACATTTCTCTGCTGCACCTCAGTGGGTTGATTTGACATTTGACATGAAGTGTCAGTTGTGGGAGTGCTTGTTTTTAAAGTATTTTTCTTAAATACCAATTAAAAGCCTAAATACGTACAAATAATCAATAGTGTGCATCTCTTAACAGAATGCTAATTATTGGGTTGTATTTGATTTGAGCACTAAATTGAGAAATGTATGAATTTGCAGCGGCTGCCCTTGGTATGCACTCAGAGCTGTCTAAATGTGGCACCGAATCCCTGAGGTTCAAAAGAATATATTCCTCAAGGGATTCAGCAATCCAGGCTACACTGAGAGTTACACAAAAGAAGAGATCCAAAAAGAATACCTGTTGCAACCGGCCGGCACCTTTGCACAGCCTGTTAGAGAAAAAAAAAAATTCAGGGTATTTCAAGATGAGATTCCTCTTGAGAAAAGAACGCTATCAAACAGATATATGTTTCATGCTCCATTCAACACGGATCATTTTTATGACATGCCCGGAATGTGAAATTAAAATGCTTCTTATGATCAATGAAAGGCAGAACACTAGTAACAAGACGCCAGTGCTTCAGGGCCACGATGAAGTTGAACAAGATGTAATTTTGAGTAATCTTGAGTAAGGTTACATTAGGTGCCAAGTTTTAATGTATAATAAATGGATCATTTTAGCCTTAGTAGTATCTGAATGAATCTAGAAATATGACATCACTGTAAGATGAAAGATTAAAGTGCATTTCTTGTTGCAGGGCTGCACAGTAGCACAGTGGTCCGCGTTGCTGCCTCACAGAGCAGGGGTTCAATGTCTGCAGTGCTAGCTGCGCGGAGCTTATATGTTCTCCCCATGTTGTCGCAGGTTTCATCCTGGGTCTCCGGTTTCCTTCCACAGTCCAAAGACATACTGGTAGGTTAATTGGCTTCTGGGAAAATTGGCACGGAGTGAGTGTGTGCGTGTTTGTGTCTGTGTGACCCAGTAATGGACTGGCATCCTGTCCAGGGTGTATCCTGCTTTGTGCCCATTGCATGCTGGGAAAGGCTCCAGCTCCCCCGTGATACTGAATAGCTTAGAAAATGGATGGATCTCTTGTTGTCTCAGTTGCATAGTATTATAACCTTAAGAGCGCAATAGATATTTAGCAGCAAAGATTTACACCATACTCAGTCATTATTAGAATGTCACCATTTTCTTTCTCCAAGGAATGCTGATGAATTTATTGGGTGTGTTTAACGGGTGTGTTTCTGAGATAAGAATAGGTATAAGTAAATCTGTTACTCTGCTAAGATGCTGTGGTATTTTATGTGTTTTATTTGGCAACGTAACAAATAAAGTCACTGCAGTCCACCTTGGCCACCTTGGCTATAATCAGTGCCTGTAAAAAAAGTACAGTAAATTCACCACATAGCCCTATTACACAGTACTCACATTTAACATCTTTTTAAAATATTTATTTGAAACCAATAGGTTCCTTTTTCTACATTAGTATGTCATTTTGTAAGTTTTAATGACAGGACAGTTATTGTCAGGTATCTCACATTTTCTACATACAGTACATACAGAAAATTTTAAATATTTTTTCCTTTGAAAACATGGCAAATGGCATAGCAGAAAACACAGCGATGCTGAAAACAAAATTTAATATTCTTTACTTTGGGTCTGCTCTGCTCATAAGGGCCTTCTTTGTATTTTTCTCTGGATGAAGCAGAATGATGTAACATTTTGGAGCAAAAATTGAAAGCAGTAGACCAAAGCTTGAAGCCAAGATGGCAAAAATCTCCACAGCGTCCGAGTATTTCCCAGGAGAGCTGACATAAGCTGGTATGAAAGCGATCCAAACTGCACAGAAGATGAGCATGCTGAAAGTGATGAACTTGGCTTCATTGAAGTTGTCAGGCAGGTTCCTTGCAAGGAAAGCCAGCAGAAAGCAGACACTGGCTAGCAAGCCTATGTACCCCAGCAGGCAACTAAATCCAGTTATTGAGCCAATGTAACACTCAAAAATTATTTTAGAATTTTGATACTGTGTGTTTTTAAAAGGCACAGGGGATGCTGTACTCAACCATATTATACAGATCATAGCCTGGATGACAGTAAAGACAAAAACAGTGCCTCTCTGTTGTGCAGCACCAAACCACTTCATGACATTATTGTCTGGCAGTGTGGCTCTGAAGGCCATGATGACAACAATGGTTTTCACAAGAATGCAAGATATGCACAAGACAAAACTGATTCCAAACACAACATGTCTCAGCATACAGGTGAGGTGTAGTGGCTGACCAATAAACAGCAATGAGCAGAGGAAGCAGAGTATTAGAGAAAGCAGCAGCAGGAAGCTCAGTTCAGAATTGTTGGCTCTTACAATAGGAGTGTTCCTGTAGTAAATGAACACAGCTAAAACTCCAGCTGAAATACATGCTCCAAATACTGAGATTGTTGTCAGAGAGATTCCTAAAGTCTCTTCATATGAAAGGAACTCGATTTCCTTCAGTACACATTGGTCTCTGCTTGAGTTTGGCCAGAAATCTGGAGAGCATTTGAAACAGTCAATAGAATCTGAAAGAAAAATTGTTTAAATTACAAATTGAACATCCTAAAAAAGTAGTCAATGATGTTACTTTTATGTCAAATAGGAGTGTTCAAACCTAAGAAAGAGGAAGAGTTTCAGTGAGAGATCATGTTCAAGACTATTTTAAACATACAGTACCCTTTTCTTGATATGGTAATTAAGATCAGATGAAACAAAAATACATTTTGAATTCAGTATTATAAAGAAAATTAATATTGAATTCAGTCAAAAGTAATATATGAGGCAACTATTTGCATGCATGAGATATTAAAAAGGTGATCTTTTCCATGAAAAATAGAAAACACATATACATCTGAAGTATACTATAGTAAGTATTGGAAACAATTCAGATGAATCTGGATTTTTTTATTTTTAGATTTAAATATATCTACTCTGAACTAGTGTTACTCTAAAAGCTTTATGTTAACTAAAAAGTGAAGCACTGATTACACAGGTCTGAAACACACTCAAATATAGGTGGTACTGTATGTATACATTTAATGAAATTATACACACTTTTGAGGAACAGTACTCTATTTTTAAATTTCCTTTTACTCTTTCACTGTAGAGATAAGAAAGAATGTCTGATGAGCACCTGTGTGGTTGCTGATCTCTCCCTCTGCACAAGGCACACAGTCGAAACAGCAGAGGGGCTCCCCTTTCCTGGTTGCCTTCCTGGTGCCAGGCTGACAGCTTTCACTGCACACAGACCTGGGGGGCTGGGGAAGGACAATATGGTGTTCAGTTCTGGCAGCAGTAATAAGGAAAAATTAAAAATTGTCAATATAAGTGATCTGATGTTCCTATATGTTTTGCCATCCTTTCAGAGTACAGCCTTGCTGATTTTCTTGGAACAGTAACAGAATGCAAGAAGATGAAAAGCCTTTTAATTCATTGGGGTATAATTTGGGCATTACGGTGATGATTATCAGACAGCTATCACGTCCTGTGCTTATTCCACCCCTGGGTTTTCACCAGGCACCTCAGATTCTTCTCACCTCGCCATGACATACAACTCAGGTTTAATTGGCTAAGTTGTCCCTTTTGGGCTATCAGTAACATTATACTATAGATGTCCATTCATAACTGAACTGTAATAAAAATACTGTAAGACTAGGGTGAGGTGTGTAGCTCAGGCTATTGTCTAGATTCGTTTTCTTTTTCCTAACATTTATTTACATTCAGTCTACATTACAGGTTGGTTATTATCACACTGATGTCTCTCTACCTGATAAATCTATTACATTTCCCCCCTAAGTAGGTATCTGTATTAGTAAAGTCGCAGTATTAAAGTGGTAGTAGTAAAGTATTATACTTTCTTCCCTAAGCAGGAGGAGATAATAATATATTTGGAGTGAAGTTTCACAACAGAAAAAAATAAACCGGTTAAAAATGAAAACATCAGGACATTTAATAATATTTCTTTATTAGCCCTATACAATTTCTTGCATTAGGAATGCGTCTTTTCGCATACCCCAGCTTTTCTCCATGGAGACACAGACACAGAGACAGGGAGAGAAGCTTGGGGTCAGAGCGCAGGGTCTGCCATTGTACGGCGCCCCTGGAGCAGTTAGGGTTAAGGGCCTTGCTCAGGGGCCCAATGGAGTAGGATTCCTCTGCCGGCCGTGGGATTTGAACCGGCAACCTTCCAGTCACAGGCGCAGATCCTTAGCCACAGAGCCACCGCTCCACCCATTATTTATAATAATAATAATGAATTTATGCTTCAATCTCCTGTAAAATATTGCAAATATATATGTACATCTTTTTTCAACTAAAAATATTTAGTTTAAGGGTGCTAAATAAGGTCAAACCTACAAAAAACTCTATATGGGACATTTATATGATTTGTATTGATGGAATATAAGTTTATGAGTTTAAATAATTGACTCAAAGAAATATTTTTAAACAAATCTGAAATGTTGAATTTCAGTGTATAAACGTAAGTGATTTAAGAACAATTTGGATTAACTTACGCTGTTGTGTTTAAAGTTCCAGAAGATCTTGTCTTCATTCAGAGTGAGCTCTTGTCCAGCAGGAGCTGATTCATCAAACAGACCGATTGTTACTGTTTTCACAGATCCGTCATCGGCCCTCTGCCAGTTCATCACATCATAGATTGCAAGAGCATCTCCGTTCTCATCGAAGGACACCCTGTCTCCATAGTGAGTAGTGAAGTTCACTCTCTCCAGGTAGTGCAGCACCTGGGACAAAAAATAATAAAAAGGTAACAGTGAATGCACTGCACTCTTGCATTAAAATGATAATGCATATTGTTTTGATATTTACAACTGAAAAGAAAACACACATTTAAATATACAGTATACACAGGTCCATATCATTTGTTTTCTTATATTTGCTGTTTCAAAATTATTTGCAGCCACTGTGTATGACAAATACTATAATGCCTGTTACACATATTGTCTTTGTGTATGCTAATACTGTATGTGTTATAGTCATTTTTACTTCATGTAACAAAATGTAAAGCACATGCAGTTTGGTGTACGGGTGAATGGTGTGAAAAATATGATGACAGTACTTGAGCAGGAGATACACAGGGAAAGTTTAACAAGAAATTATAACCAATTTACAAATTTAAAAAAACTACAATAGTAAAAATACAGTATATAAGCTGTCACAATCACAGAACTGTACAGTACATACTACACACTTAAAAAATACAGTAGTTCTCACCTGCCAGGGCTGCACAGTTGTGATGTCTGCACAGGAGTTATTCTGAAAGGGCCCTTTTCCAGGCTCGCAGGACATCAGGTTGTGCAGGGAGTGTGCCAAGGCGTACACTGCTTTATACACGTTGTAGGAAGCCCGCAGTTTTGAAACATCACTGTAAGCAGTTTTTCTACTGTTGAGCTCTTCTGATCCTGTGCAGATCTTTCCCTTCACCTCATATAAAGAGCTGTTAGTACTTGTTTTCCCTTCAAATTTGCAATCAAAATTTATTTCCCAGAACTCTTCCACTAAACCAGTATTCGGACCAGACCCAGGATGGATACCAAGGAGAAAGTTTTCCAGCCCTGGAATTTCTCCTCTGCGGATGGCAATTCCTATAGTCCCAGTGAAAGAGCTCATCAATTCTGCCCTAGAAATTAAAGTGGAGAACACCCAGGCCTCGCTTGCAATCCACTGTCTGTCAGTGATGTTTTGGCGAACAATTTCTTCAGCCAGAGGAAAAAAATGTGCTCCTTCAGAGAACACAACGATGACTCTTGCAGTAGACTGCTGGATAGTCTCCATGATTTGAAATATTCTAACCTTTGAATTGACACTGGG